AGAAATTTTTTAAATTTTAAAATCCGGCAATCCGATCCCCGATTGTTACTAGCACTTTGCAAATCCAGCAGATCTATTTTAGTAAAATATGTTGTTAACGATTTCTAATAAAATTCACGTTGCGCTGGTGAGGCTAATTGGAAAAAGTGAGTCGGCGATTGGTACAATATAAATGAATTTATTCGAGAAATAATCTGGAAGTATTATCGGCTTCTTTTCACACATATTATATAATATAATATCACTACATGGTCTGACGAGAGCCGCTATCATCTCCTATATAAGAATGCCTCTCAAAACGGTATTTGTCAACAACAATCAAGCCGTTGAGAGGCAAGTGGCTCTTATGTCAACCTGTGGTAAGAAAGTGGTAGGGGAGGATAGGAAGTCTGGGCAACAAATTGCTGTCGCAGAGCACAGACAGGAAACGAAAAAGCAGAAGAACTAACTGCTGATGGAATTTCATACGATTCGTTGATTTTTTGTAAAAATTGAACTTACATTTTATAAAATTCCGATATTCTTCAACGGTTGAAAAATTCCGAATCTTATGGTTAAGTAAGAATTTTCATTGTGTCTTATCGAAAGTGAGTGAGAGAAACACTTGTGGCAATTTTATTTACTGGTCCTCTTATTTGTAAAGATATCCTCAATACATTCAATTACAAAGTCTGATAACCGTTAAAACAGGGGTCGAATTCACAAAAATAACGTAAACCATTGATTTGAAGCAACCGCCGCTCCTGTCTCTTGATTGCTGATGATGATCAGGAACGCATGACGTATAAATATCATCACGACGATTATTGGTCACTCGAAATCGACCCGTTAAGAATGCAATGTAAGTGCGATGGTTTTTTCTGTGCATTTGTTACCTGTTACTAATTAATCCACAGGATCAAAATGTTTATTGTATCGATAAAACATGGATTTTAAGGCATAAGGAAGCATTGTTGAGTTCTGAAACCAAGTTTAATCGATTTCTCGTGCAATTTTAGGTCAGGAGTGGTCATCAAAATAAATTTTGAACAAAGTCGATATTTTGGTAAATTTCTAGCTTTCTGTCAGAAAATAAATCTTCGTTCTATTAGGGGTAATTGGATGTAACTACAGTACAGCTGTACTTACACCCACTTTCACATGCATGCAAGCTCACCTGGTCCAAAGAGCGGGAAAAGGAGAACGAGCTCTGGTGACGTCATAGTCACGTGACCTCAGGCTCATAATCACGTGACCTCAGACCCAATCAATTGGGTTCTGGCCTGTTCAGCCCCCTGTCACCCGATCTTGAGGTGACGTACGACAACTCGTTAACCCAATCGATGTCTGGAAGGCTGCAAATTTTCACATGCCAAACTCACAACGGTTTTTCGGAGTTGTGCGAGATGACGACACATAGAGGCCGCAGAATTATGAGGACTACCAGATCCTGGTGGAACCTAAGCGATCCATGATATCACGACAGGCCCTACTCTCCATCTTGGCAATGTGCCAGGAGTACCAGAACATGAACCGAGTACCGAAGTAGACCCCGGGGTACTCCACCCCAAAGAATGTGCTGGTCATATTGTGCATGAGGTTGATGAAGAGAGGGAGATTACACACTAGAAACAGTGTTGTGAACATTGCTATAGTCACGCTAGCTTGTCGTTTCCACGGTTCAGTCACCGAGTACCGGAGCTTGAAGACAGATACTAGGAGCATCAGGAATGTTAAGATGGGAGGTAGACCAGCTAGGAGCAGGTTGATAACATGCTCCAGCTTCATCTTAAAGTCGTAATAACAGTAAGCACCGTCCCAGGAATACTTGAACTCTCCCCGGAGAGGAGGGATGACGTACTGAAGCACTGGGATCAGGATCAGGAATACCACGTACCCCACCACACTGCACATCACTGTTCTGACCCTGATCTTGTAGTAAGGGTTCACTATTATCACCGTCCTGAACGTACTGAGAACCAGCACCAGGAACATGGATAACTTCTGAAGGATAGTATAGATCACATCCCACACGGCACAGAACAGATAGTTGTCAAACACCCCGGGTACCCGACCCCTGAACAGAGCTACAGCAACAGGGAGGTGGGTGATGGAGGTGATGGTGTCCACACTGCAGATGATAGTGTATAGGAAGGACACTGAGTCTTCTGTTGTGGTGGATGAGAAGTAGAGAGCTCCGAGGATGTTGCCAGGAATACCGACCAGTGCACAGAGGAAGAGGAGGCAGCCGAGGGTATTGTCGAGGGGGATGTAGGGTGTTTTCATGTCAGGATAGTCCGGATAGGACTTAACATGAGAAGGGTAGTCACTTGTTATGTTGGGTATCATTATTCCTGGAGTGGGGTTCAGTTAAAAGGAGCTGTCATTAAAGCAGCGATGAGTAAACTGAATAATTACTATTGCTCCCTTGGCGTATACCGTAAAACTCGAAATGTACTGAACCAAAACGCGGCGTCAATGTAATCGCGGTATTTTTTTGCTCCGTCAAGAATAAAATGCAAAACTCACGAGAACGTTTGAAATTAATTTGCATTGTATAATATGTATTTATAGTTACAACCAGGTTACTCCTGGCTGGAGTTCTTACTGAATCACATTTGATCGTTATTTGATTTGAAATACTGAAGCACTCTCAACTGGCCTTTAAATGGACGACAATCTTAATTTTAAATTACGTATAACAAGCCTAATTGGCTGTTGTAACTGTAATTATTCAAATAATAAAGCAATTAAATAATAAAGCAATTAAAAAAATTCCGGAGCTTGTTAAAATTATTCAATTAATTCTGTTATGAGTGCACTGATCAGAGCATGCAGTGGATGGAAATCTAGCGTCCGTCCCACAAAAATACGGGCGCAATTCCTGATTATATAAAAAGTGGATACACAGTTCTGGATCCACTTCTTTATAACAAGAATTAAAATTGAAATACATTTCCCGATTAGTAAGTTTATAATTTGAAACTATCTAAAAACTGCACAACTACAATCTGACAACTATCGAGTGCCATATCTCCAGAAAATTCTAGTTTCATTAGGAAATGAACCTCTGGTGCTGTGCAAAACAAAAAGTGGCAGCTAGAATTGCAGTTCATTTAAAAAGCTCTGTTTAGGGGTACTTCACATACATAATCGCGTAATAAATTTGTTTGGCAATTTTTACTTAAAATTGTTAAATTTGAGTAGCTGTGAAGAATTTACAATCTTCATGCTATGATGCAAGTGTACGCATCAGTTGATTAAAAAAGATCTGTTTAGTAAGGTTTTATAGGTGTCGTTCATATTATATAAATACCATTACATAATCAATTTTCTGGAAATTCTTACTTAAAATTGTTAACTGAGTAGCTGTGGAAGAGAAAAATTCTCAAAATGTACGATATTTTTGCTATGATGCAAGTTCGTACTCCACCCGTAGTCAACCGTCATCATTTGGAAACCCCTCCCCCCTCGGCTGATAAAATAATATGTGAACGGCCCCCTTTAAGTTTTTTCTACAACTGAAAATTATAATTTTATAATAAAAGTTGTCATTGACGTTTATGATTAAAAATATTTGGCTTCACAAAATGCGTCGGGACAACAATTTATAACACTGCACATCGCCCAGTACAAGCGAGATTTGATTTGAGAAAAAATGTGACTATTATGTGACTTCTATAAGCAAAACTCTTCAAAGAGGAGTGGCCATAATGGTTTATTACTAATGACTTGTGCAGAAGATTTGTGGTATATATTTTTGATGGCAGTGTATTCAATTACATGAATACAATAACTTTCATGGAATTTTGCAAGGAATTATAATGTTGATGGTAAAGCACAAACTACAAAGAAAGCAGAGTATTTAATCTAAACTTAACGGCTATCATTACAAATCCTTTAATTTTGATATTAGCATACATAAAGATTAAAGGTATGCTAATATCTACATATCTAGATTCTAGAGGTCACTTAGATGAATTTAGAATCATTCTCCAAATGAAACATTCTTCAAATATTTATAATATCTCCGGTTTCGGTCCCTCAGTACCGGACTGTCGTACTAACAGATGTACATAATATAGTGTGAGTTAATAACAGTGAGAACTAGAATAGCTCATATATAGGCTCAAATAACAACTATATAACATGATATTATATTAGACTTAATTCGGAGGTCAGATCGAAATTCGTAACTGTTTTGCTGCTAATCGGGGGTGATATCTAGAATTTAGTTTCTATTCCATTCCTGTCACTCTTACCTAACAACAACTATAATCTATATATTTGAAATTAAAATTAAAATTTTCACACATTGTAAATTATAAACTCATCGTAAGTGTGTACTCATACTACTTAATTAAATTTAGCTAATTAAGAAAATTTATATATGAATCTGAATTTTCCCGGAATTTTTTCCGAACTGAAACAATGTGCCGAACTCAACGAACGTTTTACAAAATTTTACCGAACGCGAATTGCTCAACTATGATACTATTGCACTTGAGCAATGTAACAGCAACTCGTAGTAAATATTTAAGGTGTTATAAGTAATCAATTATCAAGTCTAAAAGCAAAACTTTTATAGCAGAATTTACATTGTTTGAAGAAGAACTGGTTGCAATTACTTGCTGAATAACTTCTTTTAAGTAAGGTACAATATAGTAATTATAGTAATCGTATTGCATTTTAAGTAAGGTACACTAAGCTATAGTAATTATAGTTATTGTATTGGATTTTAAGTAAGGTACACTATAGTAATTATTGTAATTATAATAATTGTATTGCATTTTAAGTAAGGTACGGCAACATTATAGTATAGAAGCTGCTTGTGTTCCTGCAGTGCTGTAAAAGAATAACTCTGGCTAACAAAATATGTGTTTATAAGCCCTGACCAGTATTTTAAACCAGGCTCAAATCATTAGGCGTAACGTGATCAAGTTAAGTGATGACGTCACGTAATATGATGACGTCACGTAATACGATGACATCACCAAATGTAACATTTCCCTACTTTACAGGCGTTATGTTTGGAGGATATACGGAGTAGTGTTCAAGACAGAACGGTGCTGGCTCTCCTGAGTGGCGGTGTTGATTCTACTGTCTTAGCTGCACTCCTCACTAAAGCACTAGGTTCGTGGTGGTTTAATAAATAATTTAGTTTATACTTTAATTTGTTAAATAAATTATACTTTAATTTATTTAATAAATAATTTAATTTATACTTTAATTTGTTTAATAAATTATACTTTAATTTATTATAACACAATATGTTTTATAATAACTTAATTTATAGTGCAATGTGTTTTATGATAATTTGATTTGATGGTTTAATAAATGTTTATTTTGTGGTTTTAATTAACGCAATTTAACCATGTTTAACAACACAACTATAATGGGACATTGGCTTAACTTGTCTACAAAATGATTCTGAATGTTGTCGAAGTAACGCACTTTAATACATTTTGTCAAGAGAAATCTTGATATAATAAATTTAAAAGAAATGTTTGAAGGCTACCAACTGTAAGTGTGATCATGTAAAAAGCTACGGAATTTAAAATATTGTAAATGGTATTTTTAGAATATTCGGCAAAAACTAACAATAGGGTAGGAGGGGGTAAAACGGACCACGGGGTAAAACGGACCAGGCCTGGGGTAAAACGGATCATAGCTGGGGTAAAACGGACCATTTCAATTTGACCTATTTAATAGACACTATGTCTACTGTAGTGGTTGCCAGTGTATTTTACCTGTGTATTAGAGTGCTAAAGCAGAATGGAGAATAATTCTAACTAAATTCTTCTTCGAGTCACGACACGAAAAGGTAAAGAAGGAACACTTCCCCATATTGCTCAATGAGTTGTTTAAGCACATGGCAGCACACCCAGGAAATGCTGTTAATGGTTTTTCAAAGAGCGGATTATGTCCACTAGACATGAGTCGAGTTCTTCAATCAAAGATAACTCTGAGTGAGACCATGGAGCCTCCAGAGCCAGAGCAGACTGAGATTGTATCGTCATCAGTACCTGATCAGAACCCTGGCCCCTCCTCAGCAACAGCCCAGGTTACACCGTCCTCTTCATCCCTGGACCAGAGCCCCTCTACCCATACTCTAAAAACCCCACTTACTCCTCGAAGTGCTCTACGAAATGCAATTGTGACGACATTAAAACCAAATCCCAGTAAGAGCACAATGAAGGCTTTAGAGCAAGGAAGAAAGGGACGTAAAAGGGTCCAAAAGAAAATAGGAGAATGTCTGACAGAGGAGGAATCATTGAAACGACTGAAACTTGAAGAGGAGGAAAGGGCCAAGAAATCTGCTGCAAAGAAGATCAAAAACGATGACAGAACACTTGTTGAACCTACACCATGAAAAAAGCCCAAGGCTGCTCTAAAGAAGAAGATATTACTTAGTAGTGACTCTGCAGAAGATAACTGCCCCGTCGTAGATTCTGATGACCTTAGCACTGGTGATTGTGAGGATGAAGATGTGGTAGTGCCGATTGAAGTGGGGTCTTATTTAACTTTTTAATTTACCAGTTCAATCATCTCTTAGAAAGTGCTTTTATTGATTTAGACAAGCTATCTTGACCAAACAGATCTACCCTTATCAAAATGGGGTAAAACGGACCATTTTTACAATTACTAAAGAATTACTTTATTTAGGCAATTACTATGAAAAAAAGGTCATAGAATGTGAGAACTAGGCATATATTTGCAATTATGGCTCGTAAAAGCAATCTACACGACAAAAAAATTGTGAATTTTTTTTGGGGTAAAACGGACCAAGGGCGTGGTTTTCTTGGTTAGAAAAGTTGAAGAACAGAAATTTGTATTGAATATTGTTTAGGACTTAGCCCCAAGTGCCTTAAATGTATTAACAAATCTAGATTAACAAAGAATGTGGAGTTATGTGTTGGTCCGTTTTACCCCATGCATGGGGTAAATCGGACCAGCTGACCAATTTTTTTGGAATGGGTGGTACACCTACTAAACGTTACACTCAAATTTTACTGTATACCTACCAATTTAGACAAAGGTCCAACTGGTAAATGGCATGTAACATTCTTCAACCAAGTCCTTCTGTTGAGGCAGGAAGTTTCAAAAACTAAAATATTGGTCCGTTTTACCCCCTCCTACCCTACCTTTGATACAATGAAAACACGTTCTCTTTTGTAGTTTGTAACATGCCAAGTTGCTGCCAGGCAACGACACATTGTATTATTCATGGCTCTTAACTAAGTAGCTAATAGCTTAAACTTGAACAATTCACGTTGACGTAGCACTTAGGGAGCGTTCACATTTTACGTCAGCAGCCGAGGGGAGGGGTGGGGGGGGTTGGAAAATACTGACGGGGGGGGGGGGGGGGGGGGGGGGTCTGAGCCTTGCTGACGTCAGCAAAAAATGCCTGAATTTTGGCAAACATGAAACATTTTTTATGATTCAAATTCGGTGTACTCCACACTTACCACTCGGCCTCGTTATATGATCTTGGAGTCGAGGCCTCCCCTTTGAGATGCAATCTTGGAAACAGGGAACCTGTGCCTGTATCGAGAATGACAAGATGGGATATGGTTGCAATGCTACTGCTAACTACAACTATATGTCTACTCTACAGTCATCCACCTTTTTTCAATCACCACAGTCGAGTTAATGTAACCAAACTCCAATTTCACTACAGCCGATATTTTAGCGGTTAACAAAACCCGTTAAAAATATTTCCTTGTGTTCTTAATAACGTCACACCCTGGACATTTTAATGTGGGGGATATTCGTCAAAAATGTCAATATTTTTTCATGTCCTGATATTTTTATGGTTTATGGAACGTGTAATGTCATTATGATTGTGTAAGAAAAGAATGATTGGACAATGGACGGGGGGGGGGCTTATTGCCTCATTTGAATTATAGACTAAATCATAATCCTCTCTTCCGTTGACTCCAGAGGTTGTTCTTCCTCCAAGTTCCCCTAGAATATGCTGCATCTGCTTTCCTTGCACGGTTAGACATAAAAAGCCATTTTGTCGGTGAATCTTCTTCCATTTTCAGGGTCAAACTCATGATTTTTACGTCGATTTGATAATTTATAACTAATATAATAAAAACTCAAGTTCCAAAAAAACAGTTTTTACAAAGCCTTAAAAGTAATAAAATATCTTTTTTCCTGAAAATGGTAAAAATTATAAGCGGGTCATACTAATAAGCGGGTCATACTTATCGTTTTCAATTTTCCACATTTACCCACATATTTCTTAGTATTAGTAATTCACGAATTTTATGATATCTTAAATTCTATTTATATATAATGCTAAATCGCTGTTCATGAGAAATTTTGTGATTCCGCGAGTTTTTGTCATCAGCTTTCCATCCATAATAAATGTTCAAAATTTTATCCATAGCAACAAATACACTAAATACTGCATATAATAAATAGAAAAAACTGTATTGATTTTACCTAAGCTAAGCAAAAGAACTAACAGTGCTGGGAACGACAGAGAAGAGTTTCAAGAGAAGAAATCTGCGGAAAGTCTTTATCGTCATAGTGTAGATATAAAAGTTTGACATGATATTCAGCACCATTAAGAAATAGCTTATTCTTTTGAACTTCTCATGAAACCATTCTGGTGGATCTTCAGTCATGAAACTTTCAACAATTGTAGTATAAATGCTGTACGGGAAAGTTGAAATGCAGTAGATGACAGCAGTGAGGACTACAGTGAGGGCTCCTTGCCATGGAACACTTCCTTGGACACGTCTAGCAGATATCCCTGCATCAGCTAGGTACTTCAGTGTAGGAACTGTTGTTCCTACGATAATTATGTTTGGAAGTAAAGCAGAAAGAAATCCAGTTAAGGGCAATATTTTGTTCCAAATATCAGAGTTATACCCGTATTGACAGTTGTAGATTATGTAATCGAAGTCAACATCATCCTTGTCTACAGCGGAGAAAAGTATTGGTAAGATAAGGTTGAAAGCCCAGATGAAGCTGCAAACTTGATGAGCTCTTTTTGTCGACCAACTTGCTGCTCGGAGAGGATATCTGAGTAGAAAGAACTTGCTTGTAGTGAGAACTGCGATGAGGGACATGCGATGAGGGACATACCAACAAGTAGTTGCCGACATATACCCGAGCATAGCAAAGTGTTTTTCCAAGGACCCACGAGTTGGCTAGCAAGGAGACTGCCCCAGAGAAGGGTGTACAGATAGTCGAAATGAGATCAGAAGCTGCAATGTGTTGAATAAGAGTCAGTATGAATTTGTTGACTTTGAAGGCGTCCTTCTGGAAGGATGCAAACAGAATCAGAGTATCTCCGATTAGACTTGACAAAACACCAAATAGATGATAGGCAGCCCAGGAATATCTCTCTGCATTGTTCTCTATCCCGAATCTGATATCCGAATATAGTTACTTGAAATGGTCATGAGAGGGACAAGTTGTTCATCAGCAGTATTGCCGTAAAACCACAATTGTAAAGATAAGCCAATTATGAAGTACTGAATTGTCAGATACAGCGGTCAATATTTTATGCACCACAAGGTACTAACTAGCAGTGATTGTCAGACAGAAAAGAATGAAATGTTCACTAGGTGCAACGTGCTAAAATGTCAAAATGTGCTAAAATGCGGTAAAAAGTGCTAAATGTGTCTAAGGACGGGCTGAGGACACGTACGAAACGCTGTATCTTCTTTTTCAGCTCAAGGAAGATATTGTCGCGTATTTTACATTTTTTAGTTCTTTGTTTTAGGAGAATTAGTGGGGGGGGGGGGGGGCTCATGTTTTTTGTCCGTTCGGTACCCTATATTTTCAAAACGGACAAAAAATAGAGCGGACAAAAACGGACAATAAGGACAAAAACGGACAAGAAATAACAAAAATGGAAAGAACATTTAGATGCTTCCTCCTCTTCCTCCTCCACCTCCTCCTCCTCTTCCTCCTCCTCCTCCTCTTCTTCCTCCTCCTCAGTCCTCTTCCTGGGTCCTCCTCCTGGGTCCTCCTCCTCCTTCTCCTCTTCAGTCTTTCTCCTCCTCAGTCTTCCTCCTCCTCCTCCTCCCTCTCAGTCGTCCTCCTCAGTCGTCCTCCTCAGCCATCCTCCTCAGTCCTCCTCAGTCCTCCTCCTCAGTCCTCCTCCTCCTCCCCCTCCTCAGTCCTCCTCCTTTTCATCCTCCTTCTCTTCCTCCTCATCCTTCCCCTTAGTCCTCTTCCTCCTCAGTCCTTCTCAGTCCTCCTCCTCAGTCCTCCCCCAGTCCCCCTCCTCCTCCTCCTCAGTTCTCCTCAGTCCTCCTTCTCAGTCCTCCTCAGTCCTCCTCCTCCCCAGTCTTCCTCCTGGGTCCTCCTCCTCCTCCTCCTCCTGGGTCCTCCTCCTGGGTCATCCTGATCCTCCTCAGTCTTCTTCCTCTTCCCCTCCTCAGTCCTCCTCCTACTCCTACTCCCCAGTCCTCCTCCTCCACAGTCCTCCTCCTCCTCCTCCTCATCAGTCCTCCTCCTCCTCATCAATCCTCTTCACCAGTCCTCCTTCTCCTTCTCCTCCTCCTTCTCCTTAGTCCTCCTCATCCTCCTCATCCACCTCCTTCCCCTCCTCATCATTCCTCATCAGTCGTCCTCCTCCGCCTCCCCTCCTCCTCCTCAGTCCCCCTCTTCAGTCCTCCTCCTCAGTCCTCATCCTCCTTCTCCTTAGTCCTCCTCAGTTTTACTCCTCCTCCTCCTCCCCCTCCTCCTCAGTTCTCCTTAGTCCTCCTCTTCCTCCTCCTCCTCCTCCTCATCCTCCTATTCAGTCCGCATCCTCGGTTCTCCTCAGTTCTCCTTTCTCAGTCCTCTTCCTCCTCAGTCTTCCTCCTCCTCCTCCTCAGCCCTCAGGTCCTCAGTCCTTCTCCTCCTGAGTCGTTCTTCTTCTCCTCCTCCTCCTCCTCCTCCTCCTCCTCCTCCTCCTCAGTCCCCTCCTCAGTCCCCCTCCTCAGTCCCCCTCCTCCTCTTCCTCACTTTCATCTCTCAATAATTTGTTCAATTTATAATTATTGTTGGTGTTATTGTTTACACAATTTATTGTTATACTAAAATGTTTTTAAACGTATTTGAGTCTGACTCAAAATGTGCTCAAGAATCTTTTGGCTTAACAGAGTTTCACTCTCCAGTAATAATAATATGGAAAAGTTGTTACATGATATTTTTCATTAAAAAATTCCCTTTTCATCCCTTTTTATGTTATTCTTTGTACCTAATTGAGGATTAAAAGTTTGAGAAAGGACCATGGTCATTAACCGGGCTACCCATTTCTGCAAATAGCCTGTTACAAATTGTGGAGAAAATTTAAATCAAAAGTTACAATTTTCGTCCGTTTTTGTCCGTTCGGTACCCTATTTTCTGAAAACGGACAAAATTGAACGGACAAAAAGTAAAAACGGACAAAAAATAACATGAGCCCTCCTACTCCTCCTACTTCTCCTCCTCCTACTTCTCCTCCTACTCCTCCTCGTACTTCTCCTCCTACTCCTCCTACTTCTCCTCCTCCTACTCCTCCTCCTACTCCTCCTCCTACTCCTCCTCCTACTCCTCCTCCTACTCCTCCTCCTACTTCTCCTCCTACTTCTCCTCCTACTCCTCCTCCTACTCCTCCTCCTACTTCTCCTCCTACTCCTCCTCCTACTTCTCCTACTCCTCCTCCTACTTCTCCTCCTACTTCTCCTCGTACTCCTCCTCGTACTTCTCCTCGTACTCCTCCTCCTACTTCTCCTCCTACTCCTCCTCCTACTTCTCATCCTACTCCTCCTACTCCTCCTCCTACTTCTCATCCTACTCCTCCTACTCCTCCTCCTACTTCTCCTCCTACTCCTCCTACTTCTCCTCCTACTCCTCCTCCTACTTCTCATCCTACTCCTCCTATTTCTCCTCCTACTCCTCCTCCTACTCCTCCTCCTCATACTCCTCCTAAGAACGTTTTAAAAATCGTACACAATCATATTCACAATAGCATGTACCATAACATGGCAATTAAATCTGATGACGAACTATAAATGTATAATTATTGAATCTACACTTGAAACGCTCGCGACCATCATTAACCCTTGGGCTCACTGCAGGGCACCCACACATCTGTCCTTATCTTCTCGTGCAGTACCTCGTGTTTCTTAGCCGTGCTATAAGAATGGTAAAACCAACCCACAAAAGGCCCACACTTGTAACCATAAACTTTAAGTTTGGGATTAGGCACAATTTGGACCTTGTACCCCAGCAGCTCTCTCAGTCTGTTTACCAGATACCCCGTGTACGCGTCCTCCGGTCTGAAGGGTACCTGGTGAACACAGCTGGGTAAAACAAGTTTGATATTCAGCACCATTAAGAATTAGCTTATCCTATTGAACTTCGCATGAAACCATTCTGGTGGATCTTCAGTCATGAAACTTTCAACAATTATAGTATAAATACTGTACGGAAAAGTCGAAATGCAGTACTAGGTCTGAAAAGTACCTGGTGAACAGAGCTAGGTAACTCCTGAAACTTGCTGGCCACATCACGTGAAAACACGTATCCTCCTCCGGAGCAGTATTTCCATTTAGGGTAACCATTGAAGTCTCCGTACTTCATGTTACAGTTGCCGGTGTAGTAGCGGTCACGTGGTAGAGCTATCAGGTCTGTGATCAGGACGGGCAGGTTGACGACGATGTCGTCGTCCGTTTTGACGATGTAGTCAAAGTCGTAGTGGTGGAGCGCCTGCTTGGTGCCCCAGAGTACCTTGGTACAAATGATTAATAAATCAAATAATTAATATGCATAAAATTAGTAAGCATAAAATTAGGAAACCCAAACCATACCCGTGACCGTAATTAAGAGAGGGCATAAAATTAAGAAACTGCGGGAAGGGGTTTCTTAATGTCCTGCTCTCTTGATTTCCTCTACTAATGTACCTTGTATTTGAGAGCGGTCTTGTGTTCTCTAAGATTGGATATCATGTACATATCGTCGTGTTCTTTAAGCTCGTCGTAAAACTCCTGGTCAAAATCACCGCTATCAGTGTAGGAGCCGAACAAGAACATTACCTTGATTCTCTTGTATTGTTCATCGATCGAGGTTAAGTTATTCCATCTATTAACGTTCATCCATGTTCGACGAATAGCATCCCTCACGTTAAAACGTTGCGGGTGTGACGGTATTAAGAACACAATGAAATATTTTTCACGGGTTCTGTTAACCGCTAAAATATCGGCTGTAGTTAAATTAGAGTTCGGTTTCATTAACTCGGGTGTGATGATTGAAACAGGTTGATAACTGTAGAGTAGACATATATTTGTAGTTAGCAGTAGTATTCCAACTATGTCCCATCTTGTCAAGTTTATTGATACCATGTCGCTGAAATAAGTACCTATGATCCTTTTAATTTAAAGATTTTAGTTTAATTCAAATTCAATTTGAGTCCGATTCAAGTTCAATAATTTAAGTTCAATTTAAAGAAGATTATAGCATATATCTAGTCAAACAAATGAAACTGCACAACATTAAAAGATGTCTGTTTTCGTGTTTCGCTTATTTGCAGAGCACCAATATTCAATACTTTACCATACATTGCACACATTAACATTACAGCATGTTATACTATTATAGTACAAACGTGAGGGTTCCACACTATTATTATAATAGTAATAACTATAATTATTATACAAATGACACTAACAATTACAGGTGCTGGACGTGTCCTAGCTATACACATTGACAATGGGCTGATGCGTAAGAATGAGAGCACTCTGGTGGTCAAAGCGCTGAAGGCCCTCGGTCTTGATGTAAAACGTGAGTCTGCTGTTGGTACCCATTTTCCTGCCCCGGAACATTGCTTCCCAGCAAGGACAAAAGAAAATCGCGATTATTTAGGCCAAAATCTCGAAAATCGAAGCGAAAGATAATGTTTTTGCACGAATAGAATTATGAATTAGGGGTGGACTGGTTTGTAGGGTAAATGTAATGACTTGCTAGTTGGTTTGTGTGTACGACTCAGATGCAGGGGTGGTTACTGTTGCCAGCATTATGGCATCCTTTGTATAAGTTTTTCACTATTGATTTGATTTGATTTGAAACTTTTACAAAATAGCAAGTATACAAATGTACAGCAATTCGAACAAACATATAAAATGGGCCGAAATGTATAAATGCTAAAAAGCGTGGGTCAGTGAAACAAGTACAAAGGACAACTTTCAGAACAGGAGTTTTTTGGCCGCCCAAAGTCTCAATAACATCATCTCCACCTAGTAATAAAATTATGAAATGTGAAAAGTGTGAAACAATCAAATAATAATGTATGTATATAAACTATGTTCGTAGAATTATTTCCTTTACCCTCATGAGTTTTTGTCCATATTGTGTTCGCAAAGGTATGCTATAAAGTTATAATATAGATTAATTGTCAACTGTCTTAACAATTGATCAATGTTCCCATTGTTCCAAATCTCACTTAACAAATTTGTCGTAGAGAATGGGAAAAATTATTTCCTTTACCCTCTGAGTTAAAGGAAATAACTCATGAGGGTTATTTCCTTTAACTCACGCGATTCCGCACGTGCCGCGATTTCCTTTTGACCTTGCTTCCCAGAGCCTCAGTAGAGTTAGAGTGAAGGTTTTGGTATGGGATTAGAGTTATGATTAGGGTTGGGATCAGAGTTAAGGATAGGGTCCTGGGCTACAAGCTTCTTAGGACTCTTTTATAACTATTTTACGTTCAGGTTCTTAAATCCTCCCTATTTTAGGTGTTGATTGCGCGTACAGGTTCCTAAATCCCCCCTATTTTAGGTGTTGATTGCGCGTACAGGTTCCTAAATCCCCCCTATTTCAGGTGTTGATTGCGCGTATAGGTTCCTAAATCCCCCCTATTTCAGGTGTTGATTGCGCGTACAGGTTCCTAAATCCCCCCTATTTCAGGTGTTGATTGCGCGTACAGGTTCCTAAATCCCCCCTATTTCAGGTGTTGATTGCGCGTACAGGTTCCTAAATCCCCCCTATTTCAGGTGTTATTGCGCGTACAGGTTCCTAAATCCTTCCTATTTCAGGTGTTGATTGCGCGTATAGGTTCCTAAACGGTAAGACGTGGGTGCACCTGGAGGGATGTAAGAACGCTCAGCTGAGTGAGTGTTTGAACACTGTGGTGGATCCTGAGCAGAAGAGGAGGATCATTGGAGATGTCTTTATGCAGGTATGATCAGTTTGTTACATTAATTATCTTGTATGTTTGATCTTATATTAAATTTATATTGTAGTTATTTCCCTTATTCGCTTCTTTTAACAATGATGTTTAATTTTATTCTTGAAGTAAATGGCTCACTGTTTTGCAACTGGCAAGTATTCATCGACTTCAAAGTTCAATCGGATAAAACAATCACCTTGGATTGCTTTTGATTATTTAACTAATTCATAATTAAAACCCTAGATAATGTCGGAGTTGCTAAACGATCTTGACAAAGACAAGTTTGTTCTGGCTCAAGGAACCTTAGCTCCTGATCTTATAGAGTCCGGGTCTAAACTATCCTCTTCCATGGCTGACACCATTAAAACTCATCACAATGACAGTCCTCTTGCTAGGGAGTTCAGGAATGCGGTAAGGTATTGTTCGCGACCTAAAGAATTTATAAAAATATTTATTATTACTAATATTAGTAACATGTGCTATATTATTATCTCTTGAAATTTCAAGGATTTATCTTCCTATTTGGGGATAATTTATGGAAAACAGCTAAGTTGTTTTGTTTAATTAAGTATCTTTCAGGGGAAAATAATAGAGCCTCTGAGAACATTTTATAAGGATGAGGTTAGGGAACTAGGGAGAGAATTGAGCCTTCCAGCTGAACTAGTTAACAGACACCCTTTCCCAGGTAATGTATTAGACAAGTGTTGTAGTGTTGTAGTGTTGTATTAAAGAAGTGTTGTAGTGAATTTTTTCCCTACTCTTGCCGAAGGCAAAAAGATCGTAGGGAATAAGTATTCGGGTTTGGATATATGAGGTGGCCCGATGGACCTGCGTTGATAACAAAAGTCTGCTCCTTCGCAATATAGACCACTCCCCTATCATTATGTGTAATGTGTATAGGAAGCGTCTGTTATGCTGCGCGCGACGCTAGCCATGTGTTAATTAATTACAGTGAAATTCCTCCTTCGCAAAGTTATCTTCCGCAATCTTCTGGATTCATTTATTGTTGATGCGCGGCGCTACATTCTTACATTGGTCAAATAAATCGTCAATTTTTACCATGCACGAATCCCACTCATTTATAAATAACATAGTATGTAAATATGTTGCACTTTTTTCCAGTCACACCTTTCACTCAAAAGAATTAAAGGTATACAAGTACATCGTAGGGAAAATTGATCGTGCGTGGTTTAACCGCGGCGAAATTCTTGTTATATCGATCTTTTTAGGTACATGTTATAACCAATCTGATGGATCCGATGTGGTAATTTTTGGAACGAATAACAATCATTCAGTATACCAAACATCTATCAAACCAACTATACTTTCAACAGCCTATTTAATTTGCCAACTTAACAACTATTAACGGTTCTTTTGCGATAGTCAAAACGCGACAACTAGCGCTGGCCGCTGGATGGCGACAACTAGCGCTATCCAGCGCTAGTTGTCGCCATCCAGCGCTAGTTGTCGCCATCCAGCGCTAGTTGTCGCCATCCAGCGCTAGTTGTCGCCATCCAGCGCTAGTTATCGAACTGTTTTCTGCGATGGCCAGTTGCGCTGGCCATCACAAACTATCGGGTGCGACAGTGTCGCATAGCCAGCGTTATCCAGCGCTAGTTGTCGACAACTGGATAGCGACAACTAGTGCTGGATGGCGACAACTAGCGCTGGATTGCGACAATTATCGAAAATTTATATTTTGCGCTGGATAGCGTTAACTATATTAACTATATTAACTATATTAACTATATTAACTATATTAACTATATTAACTATATTAACTATATTAACTATATTAACTATATTAACTATATTAACTATATTAACTATATTAACTATATTAACTATATTAACTATATTAACTATATTAACTATATTAACTATATTAACTACAGGGTGGGCCAAAAGTCAGTACCCATACGTTGGCCTTAATAGCTCCGCCGTGTTTTATATTTGAGAGATGTTGCAGATGGCATACTTTACTTACTGGTTCGAGGATTCCGTCGTCAAAATTTGAAAATTCGAATATTTTAGACCACGCCCATTCAATATTAAAACACCTATATTGTTTTCTCTGGACATGCTGAACGCCTAATTTTTTCAGAGACGGTAAATTATCAAATGTTGCATATGATCTGAAAACATGAGGCAAAACAGATTAGAAATGACGAAGTTATCAAGCATTTTCTGTATCTCGTTAACAAAATTGACTGGGTGATTATGTGACACCGTGACACGACACCTTAATTGGGCACCCTTAACAATTCCCATGTTTAACGGGGTAGTTAACGGGGTCACCTTATCACGTGATTAGGTAAACCAATCACCTGATCACACGTAATGAATAAACTCATTATGCTTCATATCTCGGTCATCTGAGAAGCTACAGTTCTAATTCTTTCAGGACAAACGTAATTCGAATGGCCAAACACAATTCAATAACATTTAGCTTGATCTGACTATCCAAACTATCAAATAAATGTGAAAATGAACCTCCATTTGAAAAAAATGAACGCGAATATTTTTCGAGTTGACAAATTCCTCGAACCAGTGGTGGTAGTAAGTCATACCAGAAAGAAGTATTTAAATTGGGCAATCAGTGACTGAGCTATAAAGGCCAACGTATGGGTACTGACTTTTGGCCCACCCTGTATATTAACTATATTAACTATATTAACTATATTAACTATATTAACTATATTAAAAACTTCTCAGGTCCAGGTTTGGGTCCCAGGATAATATGCCAGTTGGACCTTTACCCTTGGTATTTGGAGAATTATAACGACTTTAACAACCGACTCAACCTTATCTGCTCCTATCATCGACTTCGAACCACTGTTGGTTTCTGTTTTCTGTTTCTGTTTCTGTTTTCTGTTTGTTGGTTTCTGTTTTCTGTTTCTGTTTCTGTTTTCTGTTTGTTGGTTTCTGTTTTCTGTTTTCTGTTTTCTGTTTTCTGTTTTTGTTTTCTGTTTTCTGTTTTCTGTTTCCATGAAGGATAGTCCTTTAATGAACTTCCATTTAAAATAATTATTATAGTTATTTTATGGGGGAAGATTCAAACAAGGCATACTTTTGCTTTTACAAATATATATGACAAATTTTCTCTCTTTTTTATTAACCAATTAATAACAGAAACACCTTTTTCTCTCCTCAGCAATCTCAGATGTTAAATAGCTTAGAGGCCCAGCTGACGGACGCTAAGAGGGAATTCCTGATCAGTTTAAAGGACCATCCTAGAATATACCCAGTGTTACTGCCCGTCAGAACTGTGGGGGTACAGGTAAATCCTAGAATATACCCAGTGTTACTGCCCGTCAGAACTGTGGGGGTACAGGTAAATCATAGAATATACCCAGTGTTACTGCCCGTCAGAACTGTGGGGGTACAGGTAAATCCTAGAATATACCCAGTGTTACTGCCCGTCAGAACTGTGGGGGTACAGGTAAATCATAGAATATACCCAGTGTTACTGCCCGTCAGAACTGTGGGGGTCCAGGTAAATCATAGAATATACCCAGTGTTACTGCCCGTCAGAACTGTGGGGGTCCAGGTAAATCATAGAATATACCCAGTGTTACTGCCCGTCAGAACTGTGGGGGTCCAGGTAAATCATAGAATATACCCAGTGTTACTGCCCGTCAGAACTGTAGGGGTCCAGGTAAATCATAGAATATACCCAGTGTTACTGCCCGTCAGAACTGTGGGGGTCAAGGTAAATCATAGAATATACCCAGTGTTACTGCCCGTCAGAACTGTGGGGGTCCAGGTAAATCATAGAATATACCCAGTGTTACTGCCCGTCAGAACTGTGGGGGTACAGGTAAATTCTAACTTATCAGCTGGGGAGAACATACAGTTAATTAGTTAATTAATTAACTAATTAAATTACTAATTAATTAATCAATTAACCGTCTCCACTGTCCAGGGTGACGGGAGGACGTACAGTTACGCTGCAGCCTTCAGTTGTGAAACAGGAGCTCAAGTTAAGTGGGATGTCCTCAGTCATCTCACGAAGCTAGTCACAATGCTCTGTCCTAATGTTAACAGGTTATTTTATAGTCTAAATAATATTTATTATTTATATATCTAAAGATTATATTATTCAATCATTATATTATTATTATAATTTTGTACATTTTGTGAGGTCGGAAAAATCGGAAAAATCAGGGGGAGGGGGGGGGGGTAATGTTATAATTGTTGGCCGATCATCTAACCTCCACACTGTCCAGATGCTGTTTCGTGTTCGGTGACAAGATTGAGGGACCAGTACGTGACATAACACCAACACTCCTTAACCCCGGTGCTATCTCTAGACTCAGGGTAAGTGACGTCATCATAGTCCCTCGTGACGTCATATAATATTAAAAATGTTTTGTGACGTCACAAATTATATTAATGATGAAATTAAAGTGGAACTAATGTCACGTGATCACTGATCACTCAGGAAGCAGACAGTGCCGCTATGGACATGTTGAGACAGCACGACGCTCTGAAACTGGTCAGTCAGATGCCAGTAGTGCTCCTTCCTCTCCACTTTGACCGGTAAATATCTCTCTGACTATAACCACGTGACTATAACCAATAACCATTCAACGATAACATTATTAACATAATTTATTTTTAGGTTCAGAACATCTCGCTTACCTATTGTTCGTCTTCTTCTAATCTCAGTTGCGACAATTTAAGAGCAAACCGCATAACTAATTGATTAATTCACTTAATTAATCTAATAATTAATAAACTAACTTAATAAACTAATTAATTTTAAACTAAAATAACTACCTTATTACTAATCAGCTCAAGTAATTAACTAATTACAGATAATTATATACTGTTTACCGTCAGAGCAAGTCGTCATGACCCCTCGACAAAGCACTCGATAGTTCTTCGGCCCTTCGTTACCTCGGACTTCATGACAGGTATACTACAATTCGATTAATTAATGTACAATTAGCGTTAATTAGTAAACTTTTAGTAAAGTAATTTTCATTAAGTAGGGCAGTAGGGGAATGTGTCAATATGTATGGAATTTGTGCACACCAAGTTTCCAGTCCTTATCACTTCTTGATTTCTCGAAAATTGCTGTTCTGTTATGATGCTTCCTCACGAACTTAACAAAGGGTCTCAATATTCGGAACCGACTTTTTAGTTTTTTCTGATAGAGATGAGTAAGTTCTATTAGTTACTCTTAGTCCCATCGAAAAATTTTGTTCCTGAACCAAAAGGTCAGCGCTGATGGGTAACTAGTAATTGTATTGTGCTAGCGATTTTACATCGCGCGTTCTGAATATCGAGTCTTATCTATACGCGTAGTTAATCGAAAATCTCTCTTCTCCAACAGTTTTTAATCAATCACCCTGAAATTTCCAGGATAATATGCTTTAAGGAATATTTAAAAGAGATTGTCTAGACAGAATTTTTTTCCCGATCCATGACTCAAAGTGCCGACTCATAATTGATAGAGTATTATTTCGATTTTCGAGTTAGTATTACTATTTTGCACAGATCCGTTGTCATATCAGGTTGCATAAACAATAAACATAATATGGTTACATAGAAATATACAAGATTTTCAAATTCAATATGGAATTAACTGGGCGGTGCTCGGCCTATAATCACTCCGCCATATCTGCATGCTTAAAAACAGATTGTATGAAATAAGACAAAATACGCCGTCACGGATTGGGAAATTGAGCGGCCATCCACAAAAGAAAAGCGACCGCATTTCTTGTTTTATAGATTTTGAAAATCTTGGACCTTTGCCATAAATAATGTCAATAGCAGATGTAATTTCTGAGAAGCGTGACTGACTTTTTTGTGCAGATACTTAACAATATATGTTAAATCATATTTTTAATCATATTTAAAAATTCGATTATTTACCGACAAAATTCTGTTAAAATAAACGTGAAACAAAATTAAAGTGGAAAAAGTCACATTTTTTATGGAACACCCTGCACATGATGTAAATTTGTCCTCAAAAGTTTTCTTTGAACTTAACAAATTTGTTTCCGGGGTTTTATTTTTATTTTATTGAAATTCATACGGGTTTTACGATTAACCTAACGAGTTCCGAATTTTAAAACACCAGACCGTACATATAATCACCTCAAAAGATAAGCCGCGTTCATATTCAACTGAGCGCATGCTCTAACGATTCCTCCACCTAACCATTCTGAAATTCCCACCGCCACCTAATGTGTCCATTTCTTAACCTTGTGCCACAAGTAATGTTCTGTCTGCTATCCCTCTTCCTCTCGGTTGCTACTGCCATTGAACCAGTTCCTGTCACCAACTCCCCAGTTATTGTCGCCACCTCACCGGTATGTCCGGTATGCCGTGACTACTCCGCTCTCATCATCAAATACACCAGCTCTTATCCCCGGATTACCCTCCCCTTTCCTCCCACCATAATCCGGTCATGTGTCCGTACTCTCGGCTCCCCTTACAACACCCCCTGTTCTGACGGTAAAGTTTGCAAGATATTTAACGCGTGGCGCTGGACGGAGGTTGATCACGTGACGTATGAAGATGAGGATGTCACGCAGATTGGGTGCTATTATTCCTCGGAAACTTGTGAGACGGAGTTCGCGGGTTTCCAGTGCTCCGCTTTTCTTTACTCGTCTCTCTTGAAAAATGATGGATAGCTGTCGTTTTGATTGGGTGTGAATTATCCAAAATGGACTGATTTGTAAATTTTAAAAACAATCTTAGTCTTTTAACTTAAATATACATAGTATATTATACATGTTAAAATAAAGCACGGACCAGTTTTTGATTTACGAGTTTTTATGTGCGCGTCGCAAACTTTTCAAATTATTCCTATTCGAGATTCGAGTGTATTATTTATATTGTTTTGCTTCATTGAGCTTTATTGAGCTTTATTGAGCTTACTTCTGAGTTTCAATCTGTTGTCCATTTACCATTATCTCTGAAATTTTAACAAAATTGCAAATGATGTTCGAATCATCTCAAAACTTTACAATATAATCTAAATCTTAATCATATTTGTATCTTTAACTTTTGAACCACAATACACATGGTCCAACATTTCAGGCTCAGCAGCTATACCTGGCAAACACATACCTGAACCTGTGGTGAACGACATTGTAGCTGCAGTCAGGTTAGTACATTGATTCAAGTGGCAAAGATGGCACCCTCCTCCCCCTCCCCCGAATTGTTATTCATAACTCTCACTGATTCAACTTAAAACGAATACACGATTATATGTATAAGTAGAGTGCTGAGTCTCTCTTCCTCCTTCTCCTTTTACCCTCCCCGCCCTCACCTCATCTCCCTCCTCCTTTCCCCCTCCTTTCCTCTCTCCCTACCCTATTTATCTAACTAAACTAAAACTGTCTGTTTCAGTGGAGTGTTGGGTATCTCTCGAGTAATGTACGATCTGACAGATAAACCCCCTGGTACCACCGAGTGGGAATAGTCTCCCCACTCCTGCGACCACCTGCACTCGCAAATATACGCAATCGTGAAACTATGCACTCGCGAAAACATGCACTTGCGAAAACGTGCACTCCTTGCAAATCTGTGGACTCGCTTGAGTGTTTCAGTATTATTACTGTTTAAAGCAACTAATTTGTTCTTGGAATCGTTGGATTATATTATGCCTACCGGAAATGTATGTTTACTTTTGGGGGTTAACTTATAGGTATCTTGTTGTATAAAATGGGTAAACTTTGCTTTTTCTACGAGAAAAGGATTATTTGCAATATGAATTAGTGAAAGTTCACGCTCGTCGGGTAGATGTGTCATCCCTCATGTTGACAATTCATCGAAAACTATTTTGAATGTCATAATTTGGGGCGAAAGTTCTAGATACATATAGGACTTATTTCTCATTGATTCCCATTTGAAATTCTTTTCTTTTCTTCTGCTACCTCCTGAACTTTGGGTGGTATTGACCTGACACATTGGGATACTTGGGATAATTGGGATAATTGGAATAATTGGGATAATGGGATACTTATAGGGTTAATGCTTAGACCGAGTGTGAAGATATGGTGCAGGACAGCGTGAATTTATCACTGATCCAGTCTAGAGTTGTGAAATAGCTTTGTTTTGAAAAGTGGCATGTTAATGGTTTCCTATGAAACTTAACAAAATCCAAGCATTTGCGATTATGTTATTCACAAGATTGAACCCCGAATGGATAATGAATTGCTAAGTTTTCTGATTTGTAGCTTATTGTTTTTGTAAAAAGTGTGTTACCGCTTGGATTTTGTTGTTGATATCGCAAAGAATTACAGGATTGTCGAAACATACTAATCTACGATTATTTCCTTCTTTGCACAATTTGTATTTTCTGGAAAAACTAGATTCCAGAAGATGTATCGAGTTTGTACCGAAGAAAAAAAAGAGGTAGAATTAACCATATTTTAAGCGCCCATGTGCTCCGTGTTTTAAGTTTCACGGCGTTCGATTCTAGGTATTTTAAGTCGTTTTGACACGAGCAGTTGCCTTATAATATTAATACGCATTTGTTATTACGACGTTTAAATCTCGTTTCATTTTACTCTTTATATCAGAATGCCACGCAAAGTTATTTTACGTGATATTCTGAATTAAATTATTATTGATGCGCGGCGCGCTGAACTCATCGAGTAATCTTTAATTTCGCCATGTACATTGACGGACTGCAAGAAACAGCGGGTAATATTGCTAAATACTGTGGGCTTGAAGATGAAAAGAAAACAGAGATCATGGTTTTTGGGAAACAGGAAAGATACGTCTCAGCACCCACTCGGAATGGTAATACTGTACTGTCATGACGTGTCATCTTCATTAACGGGTGTTACTCGTCGCGTAAGACTAAGTTATTTGTTCCAAATATTACCGTCGACGGGTCCAACTCGGCGCGCGTCCTGGTCACTGGTAGGATATAAACCTACAACATTTTCACAACACCCTGCGTCAATTAAAATTGCGAACGATCATATAAATATTATGTTATAAATATATTATAATGTAAATGTTTATGTTGACGCTAAACCACTGCAGAAGGGTCGTTAGTTGTAGAACACTGCCGGAATCAACCTTTTTCGTCACCATTTGGCATTCACGTCTGTATCCAGGATTGAGAGGCGGTTCTTTTGCATATATTATTGGAATATTTAGTTGTACGTGTAGCTTTTCCAGAAAACTCATAACTCAGCGTCCCAAGCTAATTCTCATTTAACCCCAAAATTGGAACTGCAGAGTATTGACTACAAGTACAAGCTCACAAGTGTTAGACATTAGAATTGGTCCGAAATGGTTTATCGATTAAATTTAAGTATAACTATACAGAGGAACTGTATAACATTAATAACAAGTGTTTGAATTGGTCCGAAATGGTTTATGTCGATCAAGTCCACATGTATAAACACACTGTATACGGTAAGATTTTAAATATTCCCAGACATGAAATTGGATGTGGAGACTTTTTATACATGTTCACATGTTTTGATGTTTTCTCTCCAATGTGCCTATGGTGAACATTTCATTTCTGTCCAATAATTCAGCTAGTTCACAACACTGGAATAATTTCCTGGATCACCGCTGTTTAAAATGATCACGTGAGAGCGAAAACATAATCACGTGAACTGGCAGCGTGAGAAAATCGCCACATTTGATATTAAATAATATGGGGTCGTTCGCAGATAGCTATTGTGTCAAAATTGTGTAATTTTGACAGAATAGCTATCTGCTTATATGTGTAAATTTAAAACGGATTACGGAGGGGGGGGGGGGGGGGGGTAAAAATGTTCCAAACAATTATTACGTAATATGTGAACGACCCCTACAAATTATTCAGTTATATTACTTCCTTGAGATAACTTTGCGATTTTCTACAAAATATCAAATATATCTATATTAAAATGTATTAAATAATGATTGATGTCAGATCATCAGCGGTGCTAAAATCAAAATCCAAAGTCCAATTAATTAGAAGAAATCCGTTACCACTACCAGTAAATTCATTAAAACCAAAAAATATCAATACGTTAGCCGTTAATTGTTAATGACACTAGGGGGTTTTAAAATGACAAAGTTTTTAACGTACGCAGTAAACCACTTCAGTTCGCAGTAAACCACTTAGCATTTGTATCGTTTTTAGCTTGTTATCAGCAGTCGTTATCTGCAAGTGTTACACACCACGCTAACCTGATGAATTTCTCTGTGGACTTACTACACACAGTGGAAAAGGATATGCAATCGGAGATCGGAAAGCTCATGAAAGCCGTGAATGTCTCGTCATTCTCTGATATCAACCAGGGTGTTCTACAAAAACTGCTTAAGGGTCCGCTTGTAAATTTCCTCAGCAGCATAGTAAATTTAATGGACATCAATATGAAGCTATGCAAGTCTGCAGCCAGCAAGATAGATCAGATGAAAACAGAACAGATAGACATGCAAAAGCAGCTGATAAACAGACAGCAGAATCAGATCGAATCGGTGCAGAAAACTGTAAAGAATGAATTGAAAAGTTGGGCAGATGTCGTCAAGAAGAATAGCGCCCAAAACAATCAGCTGACAACAAAAACTGTGAAAGAAGCCGTGCGATCAGTGAATAAAGAAGAAGAAAGATCGAGAAACTTGATTATTTACGGTTTGAAGGAGACGGAAGAAGGGGAGTGGGAGGACGTATTAGAGATGGACCCTCTCCCGGACTTTTTCAAGTCAGTTTTTGCTGAGGCCAACTGTCATTTTCCTGACACGGATGAGATATGCAGGATTGGGAAGAAAGTTCCTGAGAAAACGCGACCGATCAAAGTTCAGTTACAAAGCTCTAGCGATGTGGACATTATACTAAGAAACGCACACAAACTTAAAACAAGTGATGATTTTAAGTCAGTTTATCTTGCACCGGATAGGACAAGGGAGCAGAGAATACTACACAGTGGACTTGTCAAACAGATGAAAGAACTAATAAAGCAGGACAATAGCAAGCGTTATTTTATCAGAGACAATAAAGTTAATTGTGTTAGTGAGAACTAGAGCCTTATCTACAAGTATTCTGACTTGTTATCAGAATTTATGAACTTTAATATGTTATGTTCACTTTCGTTATCTACGTGGTGATACAGTGTAGTTTTTACATAGTTAGTATTTTAATCTGGTGTAAGTGGTGGCCGTTGTAGTCTAATTAACCGTTTTTAACGAGTTTTTTTACGATGCAGTATTTTGTGAGGAGATTTAGGCAGCATGAACTGTGGCTCATATTTTATTATTTAAGCTGCTCTACGAGCACACACGCTAGCTAGATGGTTTTTAGATAGTTAGGAGTATTAGTTAGTTAGTGTAAATTAGTATCAGTTAGGATCTGTTAGCACACAGAACTGTTAGTTTTCGCGAAGCAGGTCTGACTTTCATATAATTATATATTCTTATAGTGATAGACTTCATCATATAAATTTATTTTGAACTTAGTAACAATTTCAGGGAATAAATAGAAATTTAAGATTTCATTTCTATTCTAATATTCACGTATATTAAATACAATTATATTGTTATGTATCATATGATTTTGTAAACATTGGCCGGTGTACAAAAACCGGTCCCCAAACAAACACGCAGTACGAGCGTGCTAAATAACTCTACAATCCACAATCGATCCTCGAAAATGTTCTAAAAGGACCCCATCAGGCATCAATCATCATGCCAATGCCATCAGTTAAAACCTTACTGGGCCGCGCTCAGCCTGTCATTCCGCCGAATCTCTATGTTTATGAACATAATAGCCTGAGGTCCCCATGTAATTAAAACCAACTTAATTTGATGTATTTTCGGACGCTGATTCCGAATCACACCCCATGACATAGGGTTAAAATGCTCCCCTGGTGCGTCCTGGCGAAAAATTGTCTCGTCCTCGATCACGTGATATGACCATAATCGTATAAAGAAGTTAGTGTTAGGGTTAGGGTTTTAAATAGTCGTTCAGGGCCAGCTAGAGAACGGGTTGAACTTGAAACGACCTTGCGCAAAACTCCTGCTTACCTGGGGACCTCAGGCTATTATGTTCATAAACATAGAGATTAGGCGGCATGACAGGCTGAGCGCGGCCCAGTAAAACTCCTGCAGGAACTTCCCGACATTGTACAAACTGAGACCTCGACTAAAGTTAACCATTTTCTAGTTCTACTGTTTATATAAGAGGAGCACACATTTAAAACTCTTTCTATACTCCTTCATGACTAAATTGAAGATTTAGAGAATTTTACCTGTTAAAAATTGGTGAAAAATATGGGCGCAGCCCAAGTCAAAATTATCCGAAACATTAAAGTCAAAAAAATGTTTATGTTGTTCCTGACCCTATAATAGAGCGACTAATAAGATATGATCTCTAATTATTTGAATAACTTATGGTAAAATGAACCATTAAGGCCTAGCTAGCTGAGCAATTTGGCACTAGAGATCATTTTCAAACACAGTTTCAAGATCCATTCAAATTTCAAATAATAAAGTTTTAAATCCAGCAAGATTTTGGCTTTCATGCTGTGCCAATTTTGGGGTCAAAGGATAAAGTCCTGCAAATTTTGAAAATATGCTTACTACAGTAATAGTTCTCGAAAAGGGAGCAAATAAAAGATGAAAGAGGAAAAATCTGGAAAATGTTTTGGAGAATTTGCTTTAAGTTTTCCTTACAAGCTCCTCAATGCATTTTTCATAAAACTCATGCAGCTGCATAAGCTACGAATTGAAAAAAGTATATTTAGTGTTGGAACAATGACATAAGACATTCTATTATGGGGTTTCAGTTTCCTTAGGAAGTATCTTGACTGAATTAAATTGACACACTAAGCAGTTATTTCCCGCTGCAATTATAAAATGTCCAAGTTGTCTTCAATTAAGTGATTTAATCCTACATAAGCAAAGAATGTTCTCAAGATTTAACAATCTAACTTAAAACTTATGCCTAAAGAATAATGCGTGTTCCTAGACTGTTTCCTCAACTTTTTAACACGAGACTTTAGATCATGTAGATGAACTTCTTACCATGATTGGCTTCATCTCAACATGAGAGGAGTAGGTTTCCTGTCCACTTGGCTTAAGTTTGTTGTAAACGAACACAGTTTTGACAGGTTGTAAATAATTTCTGGAATTTAAATCTTGATCTTCTTCTTTCATTTAATATTTTTGATAAACGTTGCGCCCTAAAATTAAAAACCAAACAAATCTCTGATTTATCTTTTCTCAATTTTATGCTCCTATTTCATACATTTCGTCACTGCCCATTTTTTCCATATGTTAGACAATGAATCTTAAAGACTTAGAATAGTCTTTTTGCATGCAAACGGCCTCGACACAGTCAAAAATGCACATATACATATCAACACTTTATACCTAACAAAATTTACACATTTAATTCTCCATGCAACCCCACAACATCAACTACAATTATCATAATCATAAGTTTCTCTTTATTCTTCTCATCATAGACTTACCTTCTCCGCAATTCTATCTCTCCACGACTAGGTCCATGTAACACCGTATTCCCCCTAGATTCTAATATTCATTCCTCTCACTCCTTACAGCCCACTAATCTTAAACATTTCGTGCTTGCTCCCACATCACACTTTTCTTTGTATTATCTCCTCATGGTTAAAAGAAATGTTCTTCTCCTGGTAAATGAATAAGTCAAGATTCCAGCCGCCTCAGCGTCCTATATCTTTATTCATTCTTGTTTCTCTCTAACTTTCTTTGATAACGTCTTGTTAATCCTTCTATCTAATCCAGTCCAACTCCCTACTTAACTCTACCAAATTCCAGTCTTATTCCATTCGTAACCTAAGCCTCCTCCCATCCCCTTCTTGATGGTAATAAATTTCCGAACTTCATCCTTTGCTAACATAGAGCAGCTGACATAATGCCCTACAGAGACTTGGCTCAAAAATCTATTTCTACAACGAAATCTTTCCTCTTCTCAATATGAAATTCTCCGCAATGACCGCACGAGAAAGACTCATCCTCAAGATCCTAGATACCCTAAAAAGTTTAGGGAAAATGGAGGTGTGTTTCTTTGGCTGTTCGTCGACTCGATGCCACTACACCCGTACTACCATAGCCAAGGTGCAGAATCTTTGCCGTTAAAATTGCTTTTTCCTAACAAAAGAGTATTGTAATCTGTACTTGTTATAGAGTAGGAAACTCTTGGGTACCTATCAAGATGTCATAGTTAGTTATATCGCAAGCTAGTTTCCAAAAGAATCCCCCTAAACTATGATATTGGTGATTTTAAATCTCCCCCATACAGACTGGCTATCTTATCCATACCGTACCTATTGAGCAATCCTTCATAATTCTTTCAGTGATCATTCACCTCCCCAGTTGATCCACATCACCCACCCATAAAAGTGGTAATACATTAGACATTCTTCTCATAATATGATAACACAATCGATAACTTAATGTCTGTGATTCCTCATTCCGTTTGCAAATCTGATTCATTTTCCTGTCACTTTTTCAATAAAAGCTCCATTTCCCGCAAGCAAACTCCTAAACGAAAATTATAATTATAAGAAAGCAAACTGGGACATGATTAATCGTGAATTATGCTCGATTAATTGGCAAGTCCTAGAATAGCCTGATCCATGATCTCTTGGAAGTTAGTAAAAAGACTGCATTATGATTTAGTTGATCTACCTATTCCTAAAGTAACTATAAATCAGAGTTACAACCCCGTTCGATATGGAACTTTTTTTCTTCATGCCGTAAAAAGGAAGACACAGATCTAAATTTAAAATTTCTGGTTCATTTCTGATGATTAAGTTTGTTACTAGCCGTAAAGGATTTTAAAGCTTTCTCACCAAATATAAGAGACAATCTTTCAATATTGATGATCCAGCGCAAATAACTAAGAAGTTTTGGTCCACATGTTAATATAAATCAAACACCTGCCGTATCCTAATTGTGTATAGTTATTCTACACTTCGGTTAAACCCAAAGCCAAGCGGAACTTTTCATTCTTCTTTTATACCAGTTTTCGGATCCTTCACTAGACACTGATATCTCCTATGTCCAATGATTGTTGAATTTTGATATTGATCGATCATCGGGGATTTCGTAAGCTTCTTTCAAATATTAATTCAAATAAGCCCAGGGACCAGATGGCATACACGTAAAATTCTCAAAAATTGTTCCGTAGTTAGCCTTACCCTCTACATGCATTTATTCGTGTCTTACACAGCGCTACATTCCAATTGGGCAGCATACCCTTAAAGGTAAAGTAACACGAAGAAGGAGATAGTGACTGTTTTTACTTATAATATCATTCCACAAAAGTTACAGTTCTATTTATAAAGGATAGTTAAAATCAGCGCCCAAGTCTAATCTTTGACAAATAACTAAATGTCCAAACTGAAGTTTCTTTATGACACACAGATTTTTATTTTCACAGATCACATTTGTGCTGTACCCACCTCGACAACATCAACAGGATCGTTATCACCTCCAACCCCAGTGTTTGGGTCAACATACTCCGGATCTTCCCATGTCTGTGGAATAGCTCCATAGTTCCACATGTAACCATGATAAGGGAACAAATTGCTGACATATCTCAGTGTGTTTACTCCATCTGTAGTTTGGAGTAGTGTTCAGTGATACAGTTGATAACTATCATAAATTGAACTTATGTTATCTTAATATATATCTTAGATTTTAAACTTATACTAGTATAAGTTTAAAATCTAAGATATATAGTAAGATAACATAAGTTCAATTTATGAGGTTTCGAACCGGTAGTAGCCCTTTTTAGTGACAACTGACAGCATTATGTAGTGACAAACCAACTGCAATACAAATTCATGACATTTTCAACAAAAGTTTGACTTCTAACTTATTACTCATGCAATGAATCAGAAGCTTTACCATATATTTTGGTATCTTGAATGATTGGGTTTAATGTTTCCTCCTTGGTAATTTCGTTCTTTGCATTACTCCATCTTGGCATCTCTACCACCATGTTGTATACTGAAATGTTAAGAAAACTCATCAGTCAATAATTAAAATATATATCAGTACACACTACGAATGTGGTAAATTACAGGAGCAGTACTGTTCATCAAGATCACAACAATTTATAATTTAAATCATTAGAATTAGTAGTCGTAGAATCAAACCATAGTATAGAAGTACTAATAGTAAAAGTCAAATCTCAATTTCTTACCTCCATCCTCAACTTTAAAGGGAATGTCATGAAAGGGAGAGATAGGCACACCATCTGAATTCTTCAAGTATACCTTATGGCTAAAAGTGCCAGGAATTCCTTTGTGGACTGGTTTGTAATCTTCACTCTGAATTAACGGGTCGTTCACATATTATGTAATCACCCGAGGGGGAAGGGGGGTTTTCGAATGATTTGTAATTTTGACACAATAGCTATGTGTAAAACTGATATTAATTTTTCCAAAAAGTAATTACGCAATATGTGAACGACCCCTAAGTTCATTTCAATGACAATGCAATGGGTATACAAAATTGGTTACTGGTTAAAATATTTAAGTAACACAGTAGTGGTGAAATATCAGCCATTGGTCCTAGCGACTAATCCTGTAATAATGCTATGTTGTAATTGATCACAATTTATCTGCAGCGGATTATTAAAATATAAGGACACTTACTTTTAGGAGAGGTACCAACAAGATGAAACAAATAAAAATGAGCATAATGTATCTGCAAGCATCAACTACTCATCTCTGTGCTTATAAATGCTACGGAGACAATGAGATTACGAAGTCATTCATCTATGAAAAGTGGTAAGTGCCTATGTTAAAATATTTCGCAAAAGTGATAAATCAATGACTAGAACCAGCTACATTTGTAAACCAATGAGTTTACATCTGATAACATTATCAAAAAAAAGACAATAGTAAAATTCCCTTAACAGCCAGATGTTAGAATATGTGATTCAAAGGGATATATCGCAGACAATTGCATTAAGATTTCATGGTCCTTGTTATTTCTGATCACACATTTATCTCTCTTTTGTGACGGAATACTTCTAACCGTGTTTACCCTTTCTAGCAATGACAAGGAAACAGGGATAACCGATTGGACTGGGGAGTTGCAGACCAGAGGCAGCACACTACCGTCCAATCGGTAAGTATTTATAATGTTTAGTTTTTAGGTATTTATTTGGAATTGGTTTAATTTGGTTGTAAAGTTATTATATTATGTAATAAAGTATTTTGTTTTACAGGTTTTGTACATACGACAAATACGGGTTTTATTGGTCAACTAAAGGTCATCTAACAGTCCTGACCATTTCGAAGTACATACACAATTAGGATACAAATGTGATTATTACTTCATTGCAGTGGTGTGACGAAGGGCCCCGTTGTCCTTAAGTACTAGCAAAAAGTCTTATTTTGGACCGAATAAAAGTTCTTAACTTTCGAAAACTAAAATAAATCCTGTCTTTAATAATATGTAATGACAGGTAAAGTACTGGAAAGAGTTTATACTAAAACACAAATGTTAATTTTGCAGTTTAGTAATACAAATCGGTAATGTTTAGTAAAAACGACCTCTAATGAAACGATTTGTACGTCTTGTTGTAACACAACAGTAAGGAGCCCTCTCATGTGATAAGTCCGCATGAAATATTTAAAATCGCATCAGATTTATCAGTTCATTCAGTAATTTATAGTTAGAATTTCCTTGGAACAAGAAGAGAATTCTACCCGCTGTGGCCCTAAGTTGATTAACTTAATCTCATTTTAGCAGTACATGGTAAATATATTCTTATCATTATTTATTAGACACCTCTAATCACGTAACTAAACCTTCGTCCCTAACGCAATTAGCAATATATTATCAAAGCATAATTAGTTTATAATGCATGATAACGTATTTGTTTAAATATACTGGCAGGAACCCGTTTAACCCTCTAGTGGTGTCAAGACTCAAGAGACTAAAATAATTATTATTTAATTCACGTTTTTGACACCACTTGGGGGTCCACATTTTGGGCACTAAAATTCTTATTCTTTGGCCAATTCTTTATTTTTTCATGCCGATTTGAAGGCCATTAAAGCATTTGAACCAGTCAAAAAAGTTTAAGTTGTATATCATTTACGGTTTTTGCGGGAATTCGTGTTAAAGTTGATGCCGTGGTGTCAGTAAAATGGTTTGGATATATATACATATCGTCTCGCTTTAAATATAGTAAGATACGCTATTTCTTTTCGAACTTATACATAATAATATACTGAAACATTATTCTTCCAAACAAACAAATTGCCGACAGTCAGTACCAAATTAAGAATCTCCGGAACCAATTGATGAACATGGTTACTCTTCATCAATAATAAAGTTTCAAGTTCATGGAAGACAAAAGAAACAAATAATCGTATAACTCCCCATATTCCATCAGTTTCTACAGCACAACCAAAACCTATCTTCTGAGGAGTATCTCCCAAAGATTTCTTGGTGTTGAACAGCCTATTAATCATATTGTAGCATTTAGTTATGAATGTAAGAAAAAAGGGTGATACTCAGTATCCTAGTGGTAAATTTTCCGAGGGGAAACGTATCAATGCAAGGGGATTTGGCCAATATGTGAAAGAAATTGCAAGTGAAGTAAAGCAAAGTAAAAATTGTGACATCACAACATTACACATGTTGATATTCAGTTACTTATTTATATCATTATGGAACATACTCATGGGAATATGGAAAATTGGGAGTTAGATCACTATATTCGCACTTGTTTCTTTTTTGATAAAGATGTAACGAAGTTAAATGTTAATGATTTTTATTTTTATTTTCAGAACATTCTTGCATTGCACATTATTTTTTAATTTCTTTATTCTTTCTTTTCTTTAACACCTCACAGCAAGTAGACCAAAGTGGCTTTTGCAATTTGAAAGGTGTATCAACTACCCGCCAAAGCAGTGTGTTGGGAGTCCCCTTAGTATAGGATAATTTCGTCCGCGTCCGTAAAATTTGTATTTCTTAATTATTGATGTATAATCAAGACGTGAGAATTAAGGATTTTATTGACGAATTTAAATTTATTCCTGTTTACTCCTGTTTTACAACAATAATAAGCTTGTCATCCCTAGTTGCCAAGTCTCTAAACAAAATGGTTCTAAACCGGTTAAAGCCAGAAATCGAGACAATTCAGATGATATAGCACTTATATTATATCTGAGGACATGGACAAGGCTAACGGGTTCCTGCTCAGAGTAGAATCAGCGGCAGCAAGCGTGGGACTACACATAGCGTGGGACTCCAGGTTTTTTCGACGCGCCGCGCGAACTAGCACGGCATTCTTGCCATCGTCGATCATTACTTTGCTTCGCAGAGCAACGATCTCGATGGGTTGACATCGTCAATCAACAGTAGATTTACACCTAACCATGTGCTTTCGCGCCACTGCAAGCGCAAGGGCTTTCGATAGAGCAACAGTGAAACAAATTTTGTTTGTTAGTGAAACAAATTTAAAATTTCATTTTTTATTTTACAATCATAATATTATAACACAATAATGCTCTCGCGCTCTGAGGGCCGCGCATGATAACACCCTAACGTAGTGAGCTGGGTTTGCGCGGCCCTCAGAGCGCGAGAGCATTATTAATTATATTGCCCGACTGTCCGATTGGAAGGGGTGTTATGTGATACGTGCGCATGATACAATATCAAATATAGTGTTTAATATATAGAACGCCAGTGTTATTTGTTTTAAAATAAAAAACTAATTAACTGTAGCTGTAGAGCCGGAAACGTATCACGAGAAATGAAAGTTGTCTCTCGCTGTTCATATGCTTGTTTTGATAATGCTCCCTGAGAAAAATTTAGCGTTATCACTTTTCTTCCTCATGACACATTATCACATATAACGTCCCTGAGGGCATTATAATTTTTATAAACCTCTGTTTTGAAAGTTCTAAATTTTAATATATTCACATTTCTATTTGCTATTTAAAATTCAATTTTATGTATATATATATATATAAGTCAATAACTGCAGGCCGCCAAAGCCGCGCATTCTTGAAAACAGGATCAACTTGTTTATAGTTATACAACAACGTAAATTTAAAACTATCCGTGGTTTTTAAAAAATAAATAAATTATAATTTTACCTAATTCCAAAGCCAGCTTTGTAAAATTTACTAATAGATCATAATATATCGTTAACTTATGATTTGTAAATATTTACAGTGCAAATGCAACATTTCATTAATTTATAAACAAGCGAACTCCAGCCCCTACACGCATCAATTGTTATGCGGCGTTGTATGACCCGCCGCGCACGAGTGCGCGGCTCCCCCTGTATCGTACAAACTTTACATTTATAGTGAAACGGCCATGGAGGTCACGACGTGATACAAGGTTTAAATCTCAATGTGAATGAAATTTTAGTTACCTAGTTGTAGATTTCAATAATAAAATGGTTTATAGTTTTAAACAAGTCAGCCATCAACATTTTAAAATTAAACAGCATGGTTATGAACAGAATTGCTGAGTTTTTGCTTGCAACATTTACTTGGAGTTTCTCCGAATGAATTTTCAAAATTGAGCTTTTATGAGTTTCAGGATTATCCGAAAGCCAGGCTTAAATATTTTGAGTTCCTACCAGCTATAACTCCACCTGGTTGCAGAACTAGGTCACTGCATCAAATACATACTTATTAAATAACATCAGAGGAGTCCAATTTAGCATTTTCGATTTGAAATCCTTAGAACAACAGTGATTTCTCTCCGAAGAGAAAGAACTTTGTAAATATAGAGAGTCTCGATTTGAACTTGGAGCCACAAGGCCAAGGGTGGATTTGAAATGTTTCTGCCGATATTTTAGTTGGGGAATATATTGCATTTTTAAAGGTTTCATTTTAAATAAAGTAATGAATTAATTTGTCAAATTTAGCAGTCGCAAGACGCCATTGAATATAATTTAAATGCAATGAGACGCCAAGTTTTATTGTCTTACAGGGCAGAGGTACTCAGATGCTGTGGGATACATTAGGAAGCGCCTTCGTTTCGAAATCTTAAGAACGACGGTAATTTCTCTCCGGGGAGAATAATAATAATAATAATAATAATAATATTTGTTTGAATTTCTTTTTGCTATGTTTTTTAATATTTATTTGTATAATTTGTGAGTGTTTCTCCCGCTTTTCTTCCCTTGCGCAGCAAGCCCTGTCTCTTGTAAAAACAACCTTGAAAGTTTTGTAGATACATATAGTTTCTACACCTTTATCCTCTGGTCCCTAGGGTCAGCTGATCCCGGGCCAGAAAACCAGAGGAAAACTACCGACTGCCAAGGTCTGACGCCTAGGCAGTCGAGACCTCTTATTGAGACCCTTTATAATAATAATAATTCTATACTGTTACATAATTTAAAAATTATGGCCCCTTATTGTGGGCAGAGTATGTGTCTTTATTTAAGTGTCCTGATTTAAAAATCATCTGAGTGACTGCATTGAAATAATTTAAGGAGAGTACCATAAAAACGTTAAAACAAAAGGAGTAACAACTAGAACATACTTATATTAATATCAACATTAGAACAAAATACAGTCACCTAATTCTCTTCTCCTACGGTTGAGTATAGAGGAACCATCTTTGGCGGGTATTAGGGACTTAGACCATTACAAATACCCTGCTGTAAGTTTGCAAGGTATGTGGACTAAGTGGACTAAGGGAGACAGAGGGGCGAGAAAGAACTTTGTCAATATAGATAGGTTAGATTTGAACTTGGAGCCGCAAGGCCAAGGGTGATTTTCAAAATATTGAGTTTTA